GTAGGTGGCGTGTTCAGTGACTGCGCGTCCACGAGCATGACCTTACACTTTGTAGGTGCAAAGTGCAAAGGACGGGATGACTTTGGTCAGTTCATTCAAAGATATTTGCGCCTTCTCCTCCCCTTCGAACATGAGAACAATGTCGTCTGCATATTCCAGATCGACAAGGTTTTCCTGTTGTTCAGACAGTTTGTAACTGAAACGGGGTGATGGTAGAATGACAGTGAGTTATCTCTGGAACCGGTTAAAAGTGAAGCTATCGCGAACACTGACGATTTGGCACACCGCTTAAGCTGACATGCACATGTTGGCTGTTTGCCCAGCCTTGCCACTTTTACCCACGCAGTTGTCTTTCAGCGCCATTCACCTCATCATAGGCGGTGGAAGGACCGACAATATTACCCTGAGGACTTGAACAATACAAGATTTACCGCACTTCGGGGGAGGGGCCAACCGAACAACCCAATGTCGTGTTGGTTGGAAGACTGTCTGGTGAACTAGATACGCAGTAAGTGCAGAAGTCTTATAGGTGTACCGGTGGATACTACTGATGAGGGGCATGCGAGTAGTATGTTTTCCTGTAAATCCGCTCCGCGTCTCTTGAAAAGTGAGATCTATTACGGAATTTACGGAGTCACCTTGCAGCATTTGCTTGCATTTGAGCAACAGTCCATGAATATCCAGGAAAGTTCAGGTAGACGCGTTCAAGGAGAAGATGGATATTCAGTTTTTGTAAACAAGATGCATATGAGAGTTTTGCTCCCCTGTCCAATAGTCAGTTGGTGTTTTCTGATAAACAACTCCGCAGCGAAGGCCTTGTTCCGTTCATGGATAGAGCACCTCAGTTTAACGCTTGGACTAAGGTGCGGTCTTGCAGGATTTGGCCTGCCCTACTTGCTAAAACAGGTTTCGACTGGAAGATACCACAAGATTGGCAAACATGTAAGAGAGACGGAGGATGAAAAATACAACACATGCCTTCTGAGATGTTGAGGAGTCTGAGACTCACTAAACTTGGAGGTACTAACCGACATGGCGATGTCACGGAACATTAATAACCCAGCGCTAAATGCTGATGCACATCTGTCATAAAACTATGAGAAATAATGCTGCGGTAAAGCAGACAGAAAAATACCGGGAAAAAGGTACCGACATCTGCGAATAACAATGCGATAAACGCATCTAGGCATCATATTGAAGTAAGACACCATCAGTAGGACTGACCCAATTTCATTTGCGAGTCTTAGTCAAGATGAGCGCATCACATACAATGACAGCATACTGGGACCGGTAACGTATCACCTTCTGTGCCCGTACAAAGAGACTCACGTAACCCCCTCAACCAAGAATGCAACATGATTCCACTGCGCATACGTTGGGAGTACTCACTCCCATGCACTGTCCTCCGCGAACCTTCCGCCAACAAGATTTTTGACCAGAAAACAGTGTTTTCTCTGGCAAACGGTGGTGGTTGGGTTCCGATGAGTGTTATTCACTGCTGTACTGATCCGAATCCATCCCGCCAATGACTATGGTCCCCAAACAAAGCCTACGCTTCAGACGCTTAACCACAAAGCAGCGGTGGTCAGCGTAAGGCTGTCACAGTGGGTTAGTTTTCAAAGAAGGCGTTGTGTTCCAGCCCCCAACCTGGTCAGGAGACTGTTAGTTACATGTCTATCCCATGACCAAACTGATAGCAGACTTCGTGTTTGCCGAGATACGTGGCACCACGGTAGGGTTAGGTCTCCTCGAGACAGCTCACAACCAGTGGCGCTGTTGTTGTTTCTCTTGCTCTTATTTATCAAACTGCCACTCGTTTTTATCCGCTTTCCGAACCTCCTCCATCTCACACTATCCGCGGCGACCTGAAACACACGCACGGTTGTCGCACTGAGCTCACCGAACTGGTGGACGGCAAAGCAAACTGATGACCATGAACGCGGGTGGACGATCGGAACACGCTGCTCAAACGGAACACTTGAAATAAATCATAAAGGTTGCTGAAAAGTCTTCGATAGCCCACGACCAGTTTTGCTCTTCTTGGGGCTCATCATGTAGGTGCAGTCCCCGAGTTTCCGTCAAAACTTATGTTCTATTTGAACCCGAATTGGACTCATTTCGACGAATACACTCATTTGCAAATCAATTTGGTTTTCAAGCGAGACTCAACTGAAACTCTCGTTTATGATATTTTACATCTGAATGTGCTGCACACAGGCCGCCTCATGTTTCAGTTGGTACGATATTCGAGATATCACAATACGTGTGTAGACGTAATACATTACTCATAGGCTTAAAAACACCATAAAGGAGGGATTCACCTGGGTTCCAGATGAGTCTTCCGTAAAAAACCAAACTGATATGCAAATGAGTGTATTTATCGAATTAAATCGTTATGAATATGACCTTAAAACTAAACATATTTGAATGGAAAGAGCTGTAACGAGGAGGTGATGCACACAAACAACTGGTTTAAAGTACAAAGTGAAAAAAGAACCAACATACCTCTGTTTCGTTGAGACCATGAACTAGCGCATCTTCGCCAAGAGTAGAGTACAGTGTGACAACTGGTCGGTTAAGACGAAAGGCCGCTTGAGCTGCAAAGAGCCATTCGGCACGAGTTTCGCTGAATATGGCGATTGGTCGACGGGCGTGGGTTTCCGAGGCCAACATGGAGTAGAGTCCAGCCGATATGCGCGAAACACGACGTTCTGCGTCGCCGAAAGTTTCCCACGAATACTCGCCCAGGATTAGTTCGATCATTCGACGGCCATCTGGCGTTGTCTGTGTGTGGCGGTAACAAGCACGCGGAAAACTTGATATCACTGGTAGACAAAATATGACGAGACACGAGGCAATTTAGGATAGTCCGTGGTCCGAACCCGACCTCTGCCTCTCGACTTCCCCTGTCTAGGCTTGGGTGACCTGGCAGTATTCCTACCCTTGTGCCTCCTTCGTGTGGCATAGCAGCCAGGTACCGAAAGGGTGCTACAGCTGAACGATTAGTATTTGTTTATTAAAATAGTCAACAAACAGGTGATGTTCCAGAAGAAACGTGGAGAGCGTAGAAGTCTATTGGAACAGGGTTGTGCTCCAAGTGTAAATCCACCGCAAGCACGGATGACAACAACGAAGACAACAGAGAATTTGATTGCTTCGTATCAGCCGACTGGAACACATTGACGTCGCAGATTGATAAGATCGTGACGTTCCTAATTCGACTGTCCGTTCGCCCTTGACCAGACCATAGGAACTAAGAGAATTGCTCAGTTAAATGAACCGGTCCACTACACTGATTGTTTTACCTGCAAACATTAGGTTTGCATTTGTTCTCAACCGATCTCTTGATAGTGTCTTACACTGTACAGATGTGAAACGCGTAGCAAATCGTGCAATCTACTTATCAAGGCTATTCAATAAAATCTGCATTTGCAAGAGGCTCGATTCAAGAAATGCTATATCGCCTGCTTATACGACGCCTAAATTGCTAACAAAGGAGAGGAGGAAAGGGGGAGGGCAGAGTAACGTGGCTGACCTTCATCAGGCAGCTTTTTGGTTGGGAGTGATTTCTAAAACAAAGCGGACTTAAAAGGCATCTATGTAAAAGCGTAGTTCGAAGATATTGCGGTAACGAACAAACTTGGTGAAGATACACAATATACAATACCGTTAGGTCCTCAAAGTATGACTAACAGATCCGCTGAGCAAAACGGCTAGAGATGAACTGGGTCCTTGGTTTTTCAACTGATCCTGTCCAGAATCCGTGAATTTGGATGCACATCGGCCGTCCTGTTTCTGGATAGTATATCAGCCATACACTAAGAGTATCATAGCCACCAGATTGGATCTACCGAGCGGAGAGTAAACTGTACCGATGAGTCACTGAGAACTGCACACTTGAACAGTGAAAACTACAATGTTTACGAGCCAAGCATCCGAAACACCAAGTGTCGGGCATCTAACTCCGCCAATTGAAAAGTTTTCTCCATCCGACCCATAAAATCCTCAAATAGTCCACTACTCCATGTCTCTGGTTCAGTCATTGGCCTTACGATGCACAGTGAATGTGCGTTTTCTAAAAATAAAAGTAATCGTTCGGTGCCCATCTGTCATGTTACCCGAAGGAAGAACGACGGCTCAGATACTACAAGGCCACCTAGACAGGCAGTCCACAGGCCGAGGTCGGGTTCGAACCGTGGACCATCGCGCCCTAACCACTGAGCTCAAGTAGGTCCCCGACCAAGACCGACCACCAATCCCCTTATAACTGTGCTAACACTCTGAAATGTTTCGATACTAAACACTTCCCAATTGCAGATGCACTCAGCCCTGCTTAAGCTATACATCGCACTGTGAACACACAGATTACGATATTGAGGCACGCCGTATGCGAGTTGCCACGCAAAAAGGCACACGATTCACAGTCAATAGACAATGTCGAGAAACTAGATAAAGTAAAGGGTTACAAATGGAAAGAATGCTTCTGTGCTTTTTGGCATTCTGTTAGTTGGTAAACTTGCACGCAGCTTGAGGGTAGGACTGTTCCAGTTTATGGGAAGATACGTTGTCGATAAGCTATAAGCCATGTGCCAAAAGGACTCTGCACAGAGCAGTCGTTAATTGAAAGCGATGGCCTTTAGGGATGAAAATTTACTGTTCAATAAATGTTGTAGAGAAGACTGTCGACTGCATTTTCGAGGGAATACTGAAGGCTTACCTGACTGACATCTAACTATACTTCAGGTATCATTTTGCACCTAACCTTAACAAATACCTGCAGAACCGTTCAACTGTAGCACTCTTTCGGTGCCTAGTCGCCATGTCACCCAAAAGAAGCACGAGGGCTGGGATAATGCCAGGCCGTCCAAGCTTAGACAGCGGAAGTTGAGATGCAATGATCTGGTTCGAACCACGGGCCTTCTGGTCAGTAAATTCGCGCTCTAACCACTGAGCCATCTCGCGCAGGCTACATTATGAGCACAACTACACTGAAACACATGACAGATGCCGGTGCCAGTTCACACATGTAAATTACCACGTGAATACACCACAGAGCGGCCGGCATACGAAAATGCATTGAAGCATCACGTGATATCGTTTTGTTGGTCAGATTTGGACCTACCTACATCGTAAGCGTGTACTCTGATTGCTTTGGCGTGACTGGTGTCTGGTAAATTGACGTTAGGATTCGAGGCACAGCGGCAATCGCTGCTACTGTTTGTTGGACAAAATTAAGCCACAAACCGGTGATCATAACAGCCTCGTATTTTAGTGAAAACGAACCAGTGGCCGATCAGGCTGCTCTCCGTTATACACAGGAAACCTTTCTCCTAATCTTTGCACAAGCGATGCGGAGATGATCGACAGTACCATCCCTTGTTTTAGAATTTGCTTGCTATACTCAGCTATCATGAGCTAGATCAGAACCAGGCGAGACAATAAAGGTGTTGCAACAAGGGCGCCAGCATATCTGCTGTATTCACTATTCGGTATCATTCACCTAACCCACTAACCCACAGAGGGATGCCGGAAACGCCAAACTATCAACGAACTAACCCCATGCGATGAATCACAGTCAAGACAGTACGAGCAAAGCGAAGCGTGCACCACAGCAGAGTCACTTTCGTGTTTAGGAGGCAAAAATATAATAATAAAATTGATTGAACAGGTGAAACGACGGGAAAATTGTCCGGTCACTTTTTTTTTATGGACGATTTCGACCACCGGGAGAAACTACTCGTGAACTACAGTGCGCCAACAATGCAGTGAGGGTATTTGATAGTGTACGAGGGACTTGATCTGCCACGCACAAATCGGGGACTTTCATGAGGCTAACACTCTGCTAACACGTGAGGATCTCCTGGAGAAGCTGATTTGATGAAACAAAAATAGCACATATCTCGAGTGGGCGGAAAAATCACAGGGGCATTTACTTCCTGGCCAGCGGAGCTTGTCCCACCTGAGGGGGACGACCGGGTGTTACCTTCAGTCCCCAAGAAGGGTGACAAAATAGTATGAAAAAATTTTGGGAGAATCTGTCTCATAAATATTGTCGCTAAGGTCCAAGCGATTTTCGAAAATATGCCATGACAGGTAGTTTCTGCTGCCCAACCAATGGGATCTTAATGCCAACCAATCAGCCGGTTTATCAGACTATATACCATGGGTACATTGGTCCCGGCTGTTACAGTTTCCATCACTGGAAAAAGGGAGAGGAGGAAATACGGCCAAATCTTGAAGGCAGTGTCATGTCCAGTTAGTTTGGGAAGCTGGGAAGCTACGTGTTGAAAGCAACAGCTTTGGTCAACGAGCACTACTGACAGCGCGATCGGATCATTTCTGCTGGTATTATCATCCGTTGGTGGGTTGAGTTTTGTGGTCCCTATCTAGAGAGGCGGCGCTTGTTGACCCGGCTAAGTTTACTGGTTAGCGTTTTCGTACTTCGTTGCCAGGCCATAAACTGTCTACCTCTCGGTCGCTTCCACTTAGTACAGGGATGTGCGAAAAACGCTCTGTAAGGCAGACGGTACTTTAGCATGCAGAGTGTACGTTCCAACCAGCGTAACCCATGAAGTGTGAGCAACTGATCTATCGTGGGAGAGTTCGTTCTTCCTAAAACCACCTGGCGTACATCAGCATTGTTAATCCGATGTTCCCAACAGGCCCAATCAATGCTTTGGAGAAACCAAGGCCAAACACTGACAAGTTTCGTGACATCTTCGCGTAGAGACCACGTTCTTCATTCATAAAGCAGTATGGATCGCAGTGTCGCAGTGTAAGCTGAACCCTTGACAGGCAGACCCATGTCGCACCAGTCACAGGTGTCTGAGGTTGACGAATGATGTCCTGGTTTTACCGATTTGAGAGGTAATATCATCTCCAGCCACTCCATCAGGACTTACACAACTGCCTAGGATATATATATGGTACGCTACCCAAAGCCTCTGGGTCGCAGTGCTGACCATAGCCACTAAACGAACATGTATATGCGTAACGCGATAAAATATCACCATTCCTTGAATGTGTAAGCCTTAGTCTGCAACATCCGTCGCTCGTGATCCTGGATAGCATAGCAACATTAAACTTTATGGATCAGGCGGTATTATGAAACCATTCACTAGATGGATAGCTGAGAAGTGTGTGGGACGTGCGTGTAAAAAATCGTTCACCCGTAGCACCCTTTTGGCGCCTCACTACCATGCCATACCAGAGTGAAGCACGAGAGTTGGGATACTGTGAAGTTGCCCAAGCCTAAACAGGGGAGGTCGAGAGGCAGAGGTCGGGTTCGAACCACGGACCTTCCGGTCAGTAAATTTTCGCTCTAAAAACTGAGCCATCTCACTCCGACGTGCGTGCAATTTCTTATCGAGCCACAGGGGAAGTTGGGGTCTAAGATCTGCTTTTTCGTTCCTTAGTAGTGTCTAGTGAACAGTGGCAGTGTTTTTTCCATTGAAGTGATTAACATCCTCTACAATGCACTGGAAAGTTGCCCTGACGGGGATTTTGAGCTTCTTTCCATCAGTCGGCTCGATCAAGTTAACATGTCGCAAGGAAACGCTGGTTTCGGACGCCACGGTTTCGGTCATCAGGGGGTGTGGCCAGGCGTCCGGGGCGATCACTCACTTGAATTACTCCATCGTTAGTACAAGTTAAAAAAACATCAAGTTGCGCCTCTGGTGAACTGAGACTTCTTACTTGAACCCTGATATCGCCAACGATTAGTACAGCATCTGCACTCTTCATAGAGGATAACAGATCGGTGAGTTCCCGATCAAATATATCTTTCACAGAATCAGAACTGGAGTAGGGTGCTGCATACGTAGGAGCTACGAACAAACAACGGATGTAACTTTGGTTGGCACAGTTCTTATGGAAGCTAACATGGAAATAACGCGAGGTCGGTTATTAACGGTAATCCCATGAAGTGAGGAAGCTTCAGCTAGGGAGCTGCGGAAACTACCAGCAACAGCGCAACCCTCTGAAGCAACGACATAATCGCCCGTGATATCCTCATAATGGACGTGCACTAAGCTCGGCTAGCGTACTCGGATCTGGTATCCGGGTTTCAGAATCGTAGAAAACGTCTGTTGACTAAGTATCAGGATTGCGTGTTGGTTATTGGGCGAGTTGCTCAAGGTTTTGGTAAAATCAGGGGCACAAGGTCTGAGAAGCGGAAGCGCGCTGTAAGCTGTTCTTTGGAGTGGAGAACTTACATGGTTCTAACTAGGATAGGTAAAGGAGTGATAGGTAAATGAAACAGAACGCTAAGGGGTAATCCTGAAGTTAAGAGGTGTTACCAACGGTCAGTTTTGCTTATCCACCCTGTTGTGTCTGTAGCAAGTACGGCGATCGGGCGCAGGCACCTATATGATGTGATATCATTTCTGCCAGCGAAATCCACGTTTGTGCTCGGAATGGGAGGGGAAGATTAGGGACCTCAACCAAAGACCCCCATCAAAAGCCTGACAAAAATGCAGCGGTGGTTGGCGTACGACTTTCGAAGCAATTAAACTTTTTAAGGAAGAATTGGCAACACATGTCTCAATTCCCAGCCTCGAAGACTGTCTGATGTCTGCTCACTACATTGACAACCATAGTATAGCTCAACAGGTCAACAGCTCCAATGGATGGAAGTCAGACCAACAGTCTCCTGGTTTTCCAGGTTGGAGGTTGGAACGCGTATGACCACTTTTTGCCTACGAAGTTGAACTACTTTGGTAGTCAACACCAACTACCACAGCATTGTGGTCAGGCTTTTGAGACAACGGCTTCGAATGAAAAACCTAACGTCCTCCTGTCAGGGTCTAGGTAATCTGGCAGTGCATCAGCCCACATATAGTTATGGACTGTGTAAATATCAATAACTTTATACCACATCAAATGTCGCGCGGTGCAACTAACTGGGTTACTTTGCTACAAACAGAAGACGGGGTGGAAAAAACAGGCTACTGCTGGCACCTCCCATCATTCTTCAGTGCTATCTCTTAATTCCCTCGCTGTCCCATATTAGTGACATTTCCCCGCAGATCCAACCACAAAAGTGCCAGCATTGCATCGCATCTACCTTTCAGGCCTCCTCCCTCCGTAGTTATCACAACTTTCAAAGTACAAACTCTGAAGTAAATCTCCCGGCAATCTGCTCGGCTGCACGCCCGTGTATTTTTGTCGACGAAAATTTGTCGCGTTTCCGAAACTGAAATACAACAGTCTGCATAATCTAGACGTTGCGGCCGACGAGCTTCAGGTGATTCTACACCTGCCACAGCGAGTTACGCCCCTGTTGCCATAGCTCTCAGCACCCAAGCTATGGCTTCATTCATCAACTGGATCCACGTGAATAACCGCCTCTGCATCGTTAGTTTATCAATTTCGGTGGGAACCAGCACTAGCCAAAATAATATCCATTCTTTGTTGTAGTTTATGCATATGCGGCACCCGGCAGTAGCTCTGATTCAGGAACCATGGATGAGTACGGAGAGTATCCCGAAGGCAGACAGTATCAGGGCGCAAGTAGAAGTCCCGGTTCGACAGGTGAGACTGGGTTGCTTATTCAACTTGCAGCCGATGTGTAATGATGGTATGTAATTAGCAAATCAAGGCACAACGCTATTCGGCGTCCTTTTACTGAAGAACAAGTATGGAGCTACGCTGATTACAAAGCCGGCGACTGCCGATGATGAGGCTCTATTTTTGAATGTCTGTCTTTCTAGACCACTCAAGTCGACTCAGATCATGCATCTTTCTGGTATGAGCTTTCGATAAGTTCCTCAAGGGAGCCTAAGAAACAAACTGCCCGTCTGATGACGGAAGAACAGTCTAACTCAAAATTTGTACGGCAGTGAAGCATCGGTGTTGAACACTGGTGCCATGCTGTCGATGATGATGATGATGACTCAAAATTTACCGAATTAGCCTGCGCTGACAGTGATAATGAGCACGTGTGAGGCTTTAAAAATCGTTCGGCTGTAGCAAGCTTTCGGTGCCTAACCGCCACGCCACCCGTAGGAAGCACGAGGGCTGGGATACCGCCAGGTTGCCCAAGCCTAGACAGAGGAGGTCGAAAGGCAGAAGTCGGGTTTGAACCACGGACCTTGCGGTCAGTAAATTCGCGCTCTAACCAGAGCCATCCCGCCCCCTGAGGCTGTAAAATCTACATTCTCAGAAGCCAGTCGAAAATGGAAAGAGATAAGCACCGCCTCCAATCGTCCTCAAATCATCAATTAGTGGATTTGAAGTCCACTAACAACCCTGATATGGATCGAGACAGATAAGTGGTTCAGACGTGAACTTACTGGTAGGAAGGCGTGCGGTTCAAACCCAACCCCGGTATCTTGACTGCTCCTGTAGAGGCTTAAGCAACTTGGCAGTATCTCGGTCTTTGTACTTCCTTCGAGTGGTATGGCGGGGTGCTACAGCTGAACTACTGTTTCACTTTTGTTACCATTATTATTCTACCTGATGTGCGAAATGAGGCCGAGGCAACCGACTATTAGTGAGGTCACCAAGAGAAATGTTGGAAATTTAACTCTTTGCCCTTATCATTCCACTCTATCAACTTAAGTCAGGGTATGGGTTTAGGTTAGTCCCCAGTTCTTGAAGTACTAGTATGCCTTCCTGGCCTGAAGCCTTATCAGACCCTGGAGTCAAGTGGTTGACCACCAACGCTATTCGAACAATGGGATGTGTTTTGCCTTGGTCAAGTCGCTTAAGCTAGTATTCTAACGATGCGCCCCAACCAGTTGAGGTTATCCCTAAAGGTACGCGAAATAACTGTTCCAACCATACGGATATGTCTTACTCCGGCTGCGACACGGCCATAGGCCTTAAGAATACTACGACATCTGACCTCGAAGTCGTGGCATCAAAAGACCTTGGGTTTCGTGGATAGATCCGTCCTTCTACACATACTTGTCCAACGAGAAATACTCGACGATTATGAATATCTTTCAGAACACTTATTCCCATACTTCTTGCCATGTTAAATTTCAGTGTGATATCTTAGAGACCCCCGCTAAATAGTGGAGAAGACCATCATGGAGTGCAGCCTATGATGAATCGCGCGTATGGGTTTCGAAATAATGGCTGAAGAATGGTCGGTAGGTAGATTGTGCGAGTGGTGCTGCTGTTTTTGGCAAACATGAGTACGTACGACCCAAATTAAACATCGGAGGTAGCCCCTGTATCGACATGAGTTTAACAGCTCAAAATGTGATGTTCTTACGTCAACACTTCCCACTTGTTTGTGCCTCTCTGAATCTCATAATAAAGAGTTCGAGGCCCATGACGGGTTCATTTATCTTGGCAGCTCGCGACTTCACCATAGCAAATGAAGTCAATGCATGAAATATCGAGACGAGAGCAGTATCTGCAATAAGAGCCGACTTAGATCAGCGGTAAAGAAGTGGGCGAGGGTAGTGATGTTCCATAGCTGTGAAACTTGGGCTCTCCGACCTTAAGATCTCAGACGTTTCCGCATGATTGACCAGCGATGTTTGGGTAGTGCATCACGCGTTAACTACGTACTTAATGAGACGGTCTGTCAGATAGTAAGCCAGATTCGTCTGAGCAGCAGATAAGGTCTTTTGGTCAAGGATCGTATCACACATGGTCGATCACCGTTTATCAATGAAATTCATTTATTACTCTAAACCATTGCTACAAGAAGTTTTATGGCGAACACCATGAAATAGCCACAAACGGCGGTCAACAAACTCACTCTGTAGTCCGTTCCAAGAACGGCACGGGTTCCAAAAGCAGGCAAATCAGGCCAAAGCTTCACGGTTCTGAGCCAGATGCTAACAAGATCACGACAACCTGGGAGGGCGGTGGTGGCGAGTCCCTCCATGGACTCGACCGCCCGCCAAGGAGACGAAGGATCACCTTCTACTATTGGTAGTGCAAGGGTGCGACTTTCTTCTTCATTATAAGTCCAGTCACTTTCAATCGGCGAATTTGGGAGTGGCATATACCGTAGGGTTTTGCTGCATAAGTAGTATAATGGCCATGTTAGATATTCATAAGTGTAGACAACAAGTTTCACAACTCCGATACCAACAGGGACGAGGATTTTCGGCAGATGCACCATTGCTCAGGATAAGAAGGTCAGAACTGAGCTTAACGGCTATTCGGCGCAAATGCACCGAAGGAACACAGGTGAGGCGCTCAGAAACAAGCACTAACCAGACAGCACCGGACCAAATGAAACCCTACTATATAATTGGTCCATATCCAACCCAATCCGCGCTAGTCCGAACCAATCCTAGTTCGGTCCGGAACAGAACGGCGAATTCAGTGGATTTCTTAGGTTTAATAGGTAAGTACGCACGAAGGTAACTGGAAACTCGTAGCAGCAGATCGCACTATGTTGAGTAAGTCCATGTCTACTTTTGCGGAC